GGGATGTTTCAATAAACAAACTCAACCAAATGTATTGAAATGAGACACTAAGTTAGAACAAATGCTAGAGACTTGGTCCTCAATATACACCATTATATTATTTAAGTGTAGCTTCTCCTCTTTTTGCCCAATCATAGAGTGTACTTTCAGAAAACTTGATATTCTGAAGGTTTTGGACAAAAGTTGTCTGTTTCTATGCCTTGCAAAGAAAGATGTGTTAGGCAAGTGGAGGTTTATTGATATAGTCAGTGAAGAATTCTGAACATTTAACTCCTATCTCCATCTGACTTAACCCAGTGTAAAGACAAATCTATCCAGTAATTTACTAACAGCAAGAGCCAAGTAAGATTTAGCACCTGGAACTTAACACAGACAAAACTAAAATGATAGTTGTCAAAATGCCATGGAAAGAGTCGTGTTCATCTTTGCTGTCAGAACGGGATGAGAACCAGAAGACATGTCTGCTCTGACAGACATTTGCACATCTGAAATCCTTCTGGATCTTTATCATTTCTGGATACATGGTGCTCTGCTGAGATTAATGTCTTTTATGTAGACGCCAGTACCACATCTTGCCAGAGTAAGAAGTATAAGCTCTGTCACCTCAAGGCTTAAGAGTTGTAAGAAGTATAAGCTCTGTCACCTCAAGGCTGAAGAGCTGTGAATACTGGAAATGGAGTTGCACTTAAAATGCTACGGAAATCTCAGCTGCTGCAAAGCTTGGCAAGCCCTTTACTTAATATACTTTCTGCAACTGTGTTCTTCAGACTACGTACAATTCAAAAACCTCATTTCTACATCTATGACATCCTGTCTTATTGAAAACTTGTTTGGAGGAAATCCAAGTGACACCATTCTTAAAATGGCAACTAGATCCTTAAGTTCTTCATTATAAAACAATACAAGGGCAAGTCTTCCAACCAAGTGTTCAGATATTTCTTATGTGGGAGACATCAAAGAGTATTTCTGAGATTGTCTAAGAAAGACCATTCTACAGGGACATACCTGAACTTAACTGAATACAAATATAAAAGATCACACACTATATTTGAAGTGTGCAGTAATGGTAGAATATTTACTATAGATAGAAAGCAACTAAAAATGGTCTGCCAGGGACTCACTTTAAGATATGATGGGCAACCTAGTAAAGCTGAAGCCAAACCAAAATTACAGGCAGCTTCTTTTTCCCACATTTAACTCCACATTGCAATAAAGTGCTCTTATTTACACTCAGACACACACACAGCCTCTGACAGGAAGTTCTCATCTGCCCCTATGTATATGTTGCTAAATACAGAAATTATGAACAGGGCCACCACAAATACAGGAAAAACTTTTATTTTACTTACCTTGCCTAGAAATGAAAATAAAAGATGATAAATTTAAGACCAAAAGAGTAGAAGTACAAGAGTAAGATGGATCTTAATGAGTGTTGCTGTATCACAGAAGCTTAGTATTTCTACATCAGCTTATAAAACTCTTAAAAGACATATTAAAGTTGTCATCCTGATAAAAGTTGCCATGAATTCATCAACTGTGCTTTTATTTGTGACACGTACCAGAGTCTCTGTAAATTCAACTCTACTCTTCTCCATCCAAAACAGCCATCTTGTTGTCATTTAGAAATTTTTACATTAAATTCTACCAGCAAAATGATCCCTGACCAGCAACACCTTCATAGCAAGACACTTGGACCTCAACTGTCTTAAGTTCCAAATTTAACTTTTAAACACAGTAGCATCCTGTTTGTTTCACAGATTAACTTAGAACCTAGAACACACTAACCTAGAATTTTGTAAAATACACTCTAGAAGGCACATTAAAGGCTTGGAAAATAACAGAGAGGAATTATTCTTCTGACCATAATTAAATCCTAATTGAGTGTGTTTACATTAGAAATAACAGTTCTCTAAGTTCTCAAAGTACAAAGTTAATTTTCATTTTTTCCGTGAAAAATTCTAGGAAGAATAAATTTAATTTTAAGCTCTTGCACAGCAATTTGATTTCATCAAGTTCATCTTCCAAGGTCAGAGTACAGTTTGACTTGGGTAATGTGTAATAGAAGGGAACTCCCAGAAAACAAAAAGCATTGCCAAGAATTCAGTTATTTTATCAAGACAACGTTGATGTATTTCATTTCCAGCTGTCCATACAAGAAAAACTTGTCAGTTTTACTCTGTGTAGATGTAACAGATAAAGCACATGTATATAAGGTTAGAAAGCTCTTCTCTCTGTGAATTAAACATCCAGAACAAAAGGCTTCTTACTCTAAACAGCTGTTTCAGGTTTATGTGAGCTAGAACTGATGCCTTTAAATTACTAACTGACCAGCACACTACAAAAGTCTACTTCTCTAACACTTCAGAGAATGCACATCACCCCTGCAGAATAAATTGCACTTACTTTTATAATCTACAAGATGTTTCAAACACGTAAGCACCAATTTGCCATCTTGTAATTATATACACACACCAGGGTGAGCCTCTTCCTTATACAGAAATTCAGTGAAGGTAAGGAATGAAACACAGGGATGCCATTAGAAATTGTGCATCTTCATAGTAAAAACAACAAAGTATTTTTGGTATAAAAGCAGTCAATCTGGCATTCTTTCTTTTATACAAGGACTTTCCTTCGGTCATCAGAACAGTCTAACTGGCTGATTCAGCTAAATATATGAAACAGGAAAAGTGTACAAACAAACAATTCAATTCAGTACTCCTTAAGATAAAGTACTCCAAAATCAGCTACAAAGACATTTTACGAGCCACATGCCACCTCTGAGGGACAAATACTACATTGGTTACATAGTGATTTAGTAGTTCAAGCAATTATATTAGTATTTCTACAACCAGTTAAATTGATCTTCCCATCTCTTTTGACTAAATTGAAAATAACTACTATAAAAAATATCTTTACAAAAAGTACACCACTAAATCCCTTCTTTCCTGAAAAAAAAATATAACACAGTTGCCAGTAAATTTAAAGTTATCCTGTTTCAACCCGTTCTTGAAATCACAGTTAAACAACGGGTCATTTCAGACCGTAGTTCAAAAGAATGCTCAGCTTGAAATAATTAACAAAAGAGTTTGAATAGTTTCAAATATTACAGTCACCACAAAGTTTTCCTAGTGAACACTTATTAGAATTTAAAAAAAAAAAAAAAAAAGAAAACAACCCACATCTTTTCACCTCATCAGAAATTTACACCTATGAAGTAACTGAATCTTTACCAAAACAAAAACTTGCCAAATACAGGAGTTATTTCTGACTGTAGCAAGAATAACAAAATAATTTTAACTTTTGAAAGCATCATCAATCATCACCTTCCACAATCATTTGAGCTTAAGCACCACTGAGGACCAAAGAGGCATAGTTTTCACACCACGACAACAGCATTTTTCAACAGCAATCTACAAAATCTACACTGCTGTATATTTATATAAAATTGCAGTAAAATCCCTCTCTCAACTGAACCGTGAGACTTGTTTTCCTACAGATTTCACACGAAACCATAAAATTATGACATTTTTGAAAATGGGAATTATTTTTTTTAACTTCATTAATCTTTTAGAAATGTTTAGAAAGAAATGTTTACATGTAAGTGGCTTGTTAGATTTAGGAAAGAAAGCTGAGAACTGAAAAGGAAAAAGTGGCACAGTATAGTTTAGAGCTTTGGGTGATTCTACTTATCCACAAATTCAAGTCTAACAGTTTACAGATGATATGATTGGTTAATGGCATCCATTAATGCAGCAGACCTGAAATAGCGGCTAAAGAGAAGCCACAAATATTACAACAACAACAAAAAAAAACCCAAAGAATGATTTTTGCCTACAGCACATGATTTAACACAGGGAGCAGCAAAGGTTGAAAATATCCCCTTTCTGATTTCCCTCATGCTGTTGTAACTAGATTAACATGTATTATTTTTTAGTTTCTATCCCTGAGTAATTGCCAGTACCAATTACCATACCAAGAGTCATACAGTGATTACGTTACAACGAGAGCAGTGGCAACAGAAGGGTTTAAAACTACTGTTTTAAAGTGTATAAACAGGAACCACAATATTTAAGGATATGTAAACATTTGTAAAAATAGTAAGCATTCTTGGAATAATGTATGCAAGTATAACATCACCATGACATAGCTGGGACAACTACCAAACATGCTAGAAAGTGTTAAGGCTACCAACAGTTAAATGACAGCTTAAAGCAGCCTCTGCTTTGCCAAGTGTTAAGGCTACCAACAGTTAAATGACATCTTAAAGCAGCCTTACAATCAAATGCTTTTCAAAGTGTTCAAAGTTCAGTTGTAGTTTTTTTAACTACAACGGATAAAAAACGAGTTCTGTAGACACCAGTCACCTTTCCTAACGACACACTAGTGCCCTACCTAACACGTTTAGCACTACAAGCTGTATATTGGTACACTCCAAAAGTCAATAATCAGTAACTCCTAAACAAAAAACAAATCCAAACTCTCCAAAAGGAACTATACGAGTTAAACACCACACTCAAGATTTCTACACTGCCATGACAACTCAGTAAGCACTCACAAGGTAGCAGTCTTAAACTTTTCAAATTTTTAAACCAAAGTCCATAACAGTATCAGAATGGCCTGCAAGCAATTCTTAAGCACGTGAATGAATCAGGTGGTTAGAAAGAACATTAAAAAAATACCAGTGACAGAAGAAAGTCCATCAAGTTCTATTAAACAAAAGGATGTAGATAAGACTTCACGCTCAACCTAAGCCAAAGAAATGGCAGACACTGGGAAAGCACACTGGAGGGAAAGGGCTGATGTTCCCTGCTCACCTTGCTTTAGTATCTTTCTCATAGTAAGCACACATCAACAGATACTTCACGAAAGTACTAAGCTAGATTGATCTTCCCCTAACATTACCTGACTCTTCAGTAAAGTAAATAATGCAAGAAGCCAACAGAAACCCACAAAGAATACAAAAATTGTCGAAAGGTACCATCCTTTCAAAGCATCCATACCTGTGGAAGTGCAGTATTGAGCTGTCTCTGCAAGGAATCTCTCTCATGACCAACTTCATGAAGCTTGCCCTGGGTCAACGCTAGCGTCTCCTGAGTTTCTCTTAGTGTTTCCAGAAGGCGATCCCTTTCTTCCAACATGGACACCATTAATTGCTCAAAATGGGAATCAGCATCTGACTGTAACGGGGAACCTGAACCATGGCCTCCATTTCCCCCAGAGGGAATCTCTGCCTCACTGATGGTTGGCATCACCTCACACATCATCTTGAAACAAAATAAGACAAAACAAAGACCGTAAATTTAAGTCAAACAAATCTAAACAGGATAAGCAAAGGAACTTTGGATACTACCCATAATAACAACTCAGCTTTCCCAATGATAGCATCAGCAAAGGTTGCCAACACCTTAGTGTTTGCCACTATTTCATTAAGACTGCAGGAGAAAAGGTATACAATCAATTTCATCAAGGCATCACTTCATAATGAGAATCTTGTGACTTCTTGCAAAACCAGATTTTTACAGCTACATTTCAAACTGTGATCTCATTTTAATAGATTTATATTTTTGTTAAGAGAAAACTGCTGCTAAGATCTTTAAAAAAACAAAGATAAGGCATGCAGCACGCCACCAAAAATTATACACTTACACCAGTAAGTGATTACACTGCATATTTTGAGAATCATTATCTGCTTCTTCCAACGTTTGAAACATAGAAAGATAGTATCTAAAAGAGTCCTGTGAGTTTATGCTGGCTGTGTCTATGGTAAAAGTGATGCATGTAAATTAGTGGTAAATCCACACAGTCCAATTCAGGAGACACACACGCAAAGGAAAATAAAAAGCAGAAAATTCATTATGAAGTGGCAGCAGCTGTCACTGTGGATAACAAAAGCAAAGGTAAGCAAAAATAATTCAAGGCAGAGTATGAATACAATTAACAATGCAAATGTAAATACTGTACTACCATTAAATTGGAAGGACTTTTAAGAGACCCTAGCAGGTCACAAGAGTCTAAGGCATCACATTTTTTAAAAAGCATAGGGGGAAAAAAACCTAATATAATTACTGCACATTCTCACTGAGCCTCTAGGACTTCTAAAGTTCTTCAGGCAGCCTCTCTGAACATCACAAACCTACAAGAACCTAAGGCAAATCAGAAAAAACTGTTCTCTCAGTCTCTCAGGTACCATATGTTCTCAGCCTTAAATTTCTCACTCACATCTGAACATTTTAAAGGACAACTAAACTTATTCTGAGCCTTACTGTGGGACCTCTCAATCCCTTGAAAGATTGTGAACAGCCTGAAGTGATTTGTAACATTTTCATGCATGAGTACCATAAGCCCTCTATTTTCACCACCACTACATTATTTACCTTGCTCAATAAAATAAAAAGGCTTGGAAAACAGGCCCCAGGTTTCCTGCAGTACCAGTTCTTCTCTGTTTTTAGTAGTTTTTTGTTACCCCAAAAAACCTTTCGGATTGCAAAGCATCCATTCAGCTCTAGTCCAATGTCTATTTAATTGAAACACCCCGTGCACATGAAAACAAGTAAACCCGCTGAGAAAAGAGCGGATCCAGTAAAAAGCAGCAGCAGCTTCAGCTAACTAGCCAAGTCCCCAGAAGAGAAGAATGTGAAAATAAACTGTCTCAGCTTCCCATCCCTCTATTACTGGCCCATAGGTCCTCCAACAGCTGGGATGGGGGAATCATGTGCTGAGAATGAAACAAAATATAAAAAAAAAAAAAAGTGTAGTCCGATGCAGTGGTGCAACAAGCTTCAATAGTTCATTGCTCATAAATTCCACTCAGGTCACAATCGCATTATTAAAGAGAGCGTGGACAGCATGGGAAAACGGCACAAGCTTTCTCGTAAAGGATTTGGAAAAGCCTCCCTTCTTTCCTCTTCTGTTAATTCCAACGGGAGGCTCCCCTTCCAGTTTCCTGGGTCTTAGTTCAAACATTTATAATCCCAAGAGCAAGGCGCTGGTATCGCTTTGGAAGGCGAGGAGAAGGGAGAGACCTGTTGTTTCCTCTGCGTTAATCCTCCACCCGCTCTTGCCTCGGCCGGATCCCACCGACGATGCTCGGGAACCGGTGATATCCAGCCGAAAGGGGTGAAATAACCCCGCCGACAACGGAGGTAGCGCCCGAAAAGCAGAGGCGGGGGAGGAAGGCCCCGAAGAGAGACGGGGGCACCGGCAGCTCACCCGCCCGGGTCTCTCCGATCCTCTTCCCCGCGGCAGGCCCCGGCAAACAAAGATGCTGGCGGAGGAGATGGGGCTTTTCTGCTCACCCCCTTGCCCTCACCCCGCCGCCCCTCACGGGGATCGCCCGGCCGGGCCTCCCTCTCTCCCCGCCGGAGGCCCCAGCGGCGCCGGGAGCGCGGCCCCGCAGCCCGCACACAGCCGGCGGGGGCTCAGCGTTCCCCCAGAGGAGCGAGCCCGGCCACGGAGGCCCCAGCGCCGTGAGGGCCCTCCCTACCGAGCGGCGGGGCAGGCTCCCCCGCGGCGGGAGGACTCGCGTCCCTCCGGGCCGGGCCCGGCTCGGCTCCGCCCGCCGCCTCCGCCGCCTCCACGTCCGTGGTTGCCGGCGATGGGCCGGCTGAGGCCGGGTTAGGTGCCGCTGCGTCCCGCGACGGCGGTGCCGCGGCCCGAGGAGGGGGCAAAGGCCCTGCGCGCTGGGGAGAGCCCCGATCGCCGCGCCGACCCCCCGACCCGTCGCGCCAGCACCGACCGCCGCCGCCTCCCGCTTCTCCCGGCGCCCTCTGCGGCTCCTGCATAAATCAGTGCGGGGCCCAGAATGCACCGCGCGGGGAGGCTCCTTCAGGGCCGCGGGTTCGAGACCCGCTCCCCCGCGGAGGCGCCGGCGTGAACCCGTTCTCTACCCCGGCTAAGCGATACTCTCGCCGCCCACGGGTGTCCGCCCGAAAGCAGAGCCCCGGGGCAGGAGGCGTGCTCGCTGAGGGCTGAGCAACAGGGCAAGACAGGAGTCATCAGCGCTGCCTGTGCCAGAGCGGACCCGGCAATCGTAGTCCTTCCCGGGGCCTGCGTGTCACGGCAGGGCCCTGCCAGGCGGGTCTGCCCGCTCCTGCACACAGGCATCGCCCGCTGGGCAGGAGCTGGGCCCTGCCCCGATCCCTCAGCCTGCTCCCATCACCTCAGCCCGCTCCTGTCACCTCAGCCCTCTCTCGTCTCCTCAGCCCACCCTCTCATCCTTGGCCTGCTCCCCTGGCCGCAGCCCACCGCTGGTGCCCTCCACCTCCGCCCCTGCAGCCTACAGTGGCATGGTGGTAAGGCCTGATGGCTCTGCAGAGCTGTGAGGCGATGGGTTTAACCAGTCAAACGGTGTAACTAATGGCTCCGCGGTGAGTAAAGACAAGCCAACGCCTGCGTGGGTCTGCGGGACACAGTGAACCGTTGAAGCGGTGTAAGGAGCTGGCTGCTGCCGTCATTCATAGGCGTGTGTGCTGTCTGAAGGCTCCATGTGGGTGATGAAGGCTTCTCCTGCCTCCCCCTGTGAGGAAGCAATGCCACCACGTCCCCAGCACAGCACCCATGAGGGCTGACTTCGCTGGCGTTACTTTATTCTCCACAGGAAACTGGCTTTGGCTACACTGACAGAATAACTCCTTTTTTCCCCACCCCCTGTGTAATCTCTTTCCAAACAGATTTCCACTTGCTCTTACTCTGTTCCTGGATGAGCCTCTTTCTAAAGCGTTTTCCATGCACCTGGGTAAGGTTGGAGTTTGTAGGCAAAGCTCAGAAAAAAAAAATAAAAAATTTCTTTTCTCTCTTTCATTTGTGTTACCACTATGAATTGAGCATTTGCATTTTGGACCCTATTCTTGCTTTTTCGGAGTGGAAAGCTCTGAAAAGCACTAGGGGCCAGTTATGCAGAAGCAGATCATGCCAAAAAGCAGCAGTCCCCGCACTGAAGGTTGTGCAGCTTTCTGACTAGGTTACATGACATTTAAGTTGTGAATACAATATATTAACACCTAGCACTGGATAGAAAGGATCGTTGATGAGTCACTCTTCCTTCCCCCAAACACAAAAATCTTTACAATTAAAAATGTACTATATTGTGCTCTTTCCCTTTGGTATTTGAGCTTTAGGGTGAACTCAGATAACATTTTTAAGCTTTTCCTCTACAGCCATGAGGTCTAGATTATTATTGTTTTTCCTCTTGAAGTTTCTGACATAATCACATGACTCTGGGAGCTGGAACTTTAAGGAAAAAGCTAAATATTATGAGGCACATTCAAATCACAAGTTCTGCCAAATAGTTTAGGCTTAATGCTGAGTAATACAACATTGAAGTGTAATTGCATAAATACTGAGATCTGACTTTCCAATGTAGAAAGAGTAGCAAAAAAAAAAAAAAAACCAGCGAAAATCAATTCTGCTCTTCCTGGGGAAACCTCCCAATGTTATGAATTAACTGGTGGTGTCAAATAGTCTCATTATAGCTCAATGCTATTATTCATAAGCTTTGATATATTTAGAAACTTCTATGCTTTCATTTTAACTACTTAAAATGATCATGGGAGGGGAAGAAGGAAGGCATCATTCACCTGGCCCTCTCCTTCAACCTGCTACTGATGGTTTAACCCACACTAAGGGTTTCTTTCACATTATTCACATTAACATAGAACTACCAGCAGAGTCTGGGCCATGCTTAGGAAGCACAGCAAAGTATTTCTAGGGTCAAACAAAGGCAGTTACTTAATGCTTAAAACTAGGTCCTGAGGATTACCTTGAACGTAATCAGCTCTTTATTTCTAAGCACATTTCTATAGGTAAATGCTTCTATTTCATTGCCCCAAACTCTATCTTTACGTGCAGCAACAAAATTGTTTCCCATAATTTACATGCAATTCATCGACGACTGCATTCCTTATACACCACAGGTGCTGATTTTGTCTGATTCTTTAAAGAAAACAAAAATACCCTGCCAGCTTCACCCACTTCTTGAAAAGTTAAGTAAGAATACTTAAACTCTTCATGTGCAAGTGAAAAACAAACCCAGTTTTCTAAGCATGATCACAAACACATAGGATGAAAATATATTGACAGAAGAGGAGAGCTGGTATTTCCTTACCTCATGCAGGATTTCAGATAATTCTTTCCTTCCTTTACAATGCAATATTCAGCAGGATAATATAAAAATATAAATAAGTCAAATTGACACCAGTCTAGTAAAGTGAGAATTTAAAAACTGAAAAGCATTTTAAAAAATACAGTAAGTTTTTGGAAGATTCGGGGTTTTTTTCCTGCCACTAGTTGACAAGCAACGAACAGTTCCAGCAGAGCAGCAGAGATCTTCACTGCAGACCTTGTAATTTGTGTCTTGCCCTTTCCTAAGCTGAGTTCTGAATTTTTGTTCCCTGTGAATATGTTTCTCAGGTGTGTCAGCTGTGATGGTGAGGGCAATGGAGTCACAAGATATTTGTACTGATAGGACAGTGCTCATTATTTTGTCCTCATCCTTTGGGAGTCAGAGTTCAAATGTGCTGAAACTATTTGACCTGGCTGTGCCAACCCAATGTTGCAAGTCGAGGGAGTCCTTCCAGGTCAGAATTCGGGTGCATGCTAAGAAAGGCAAAATCCTCACCTTTTATCTTGATTACTTTTGCTCTACCACTTCTGTGGACTTCACTCTAAGGAGCTGTTAAGGTGGCATCTTCAAAATAACACATTCAAGCAAAAGCACAAAAAGGCTGAAAAATAAAGTGGAATTTACAGCTGCATGAGTAAACACAATTTCACTTCAACTCATCACACATAAAAAATGAAAACTAATGATGTTGGTAGAAAGCACCTGGCCTGATTTGATTTTCATTTAACGTAGAAGTCAAATGGAGACTGCATGAGTAAACACAATTTCACTTCAACTCGTCACACATAAAAAATGAAAACTAGTAATGTTGGTAGAAAGCATCTGGCCTGATTTGATTTGCATTTAACATAGGAATTTGTGAATTTAAGTGCAAAATGTTAAACACCGTGATAGGCACAGAGTTGATAATCTCTATCAAATTGGACACGGCAATACATCCACTCAAATTAACTGATCCTGAGCCAGGTTGTGTAGAATAAAAGTGAATGTATTCACCTAGATCCTAAAAGGTGTCATCACCTTTTCTCTCTGTTTGGGATTACTTGGAATGTGGTTGTTTTTCTTTTGAAATTAAGTTTTGTTTTGTCCTTAAATGGTTAAAATAAAAAACAAACAGTCGTACCAGCTATAATCATGCTTCATTATGAAAGCAAAGAACCTTCCACACAATTCTGAAATGGAGAATAAATATGAATGAACTCCACGTATTAATCTTCACTTCAACCAGTTTGTTAACAAGGCACAGACACTCTCACATTCAGCTTTCCCAGCTCCTCACATCTGCGGTTCGACTTCCCATCTCAGAGGCTTCAACTGCAGACCCTCCTCAGCCTCAAGGAGTTGTCACCTTTATCTTTGTCACCTTCAAATCCCATATCACTCCCTACACAAGTTTCAGAGGAGAGATGGAAATGGCAGTGGTTAGGCACTTTCTTCAGAAATGGGTTTCAGCCTCAGGTGGGAACAGCGTTCCCATGGCATATAAATGTCTGCTATAAAAAAGGGAGGCACTGTCTCCTCATGTATAAAGAGCTGGGTATTTATTCATGCCCAAAAGGATAGCTTAGTCCAGGAGAGAACTTGAATCCAGAGTATCCTAGTTAAGGAATATGCCTCCCACATATTGCCATACTGCAAATACCTTCGTTAGGCACCTCGCTTTGTGAATGTTACGCTCAAAGCCCAGACTGTGGATCCAGCAGAATTTCTGAGGCGCCTCGAAAATATCTGAAAGGCCTGATTTTGAAGCCTTATTGCTCTCCCTGGGTGCAGTCCACCCTAGCCCAGAGCAGATCAATGGAGGGTCAGCGCTTCAAATACCAGAGACGTGACTGAATAATCAGGTCTTTGCATAATGCTCTGCGTTGCACATAACACACATGAAATAATAAAGTCAGGAGAACTCCCAGGTGTTTACTGCAAAATACCCAAATATTTCTCAGCATTCCCATCAACTTTGTAGTACAAGGAAAACACTTTCCTTTTTTTCTTCCTCCTGGGCATGTAACCTGGGATATACTGTCTGACACCACGAGCACTAGCAGCTCAGGTCTTTTTAACTAAAAAACAAGTACAATATCCCTTTTTTAAGTTCAGCAAGAGGTCTGGCACCCTGGACGTGTCGTTTAGTGAGATGTAGCACTTGTAGACATGTCCAGAAAGAGCCACACTCTAAATCACATACTCTAAATCAGCTGACAGCAAAGTAATCAGTTCAGAGACCCAGGTTAAATATCCCTCTGCAGCTCAAAAGCACATGATGAAATTCAAACAAAAGCTGTTAAAAACAGGGAGGAGGGGAAAAAAAAAAAAAAAAAAAAAAAAAAAAAGACTTTCCTTTCCTGTCACATGATAAATTAGATCCTAATGTTTATCCAAGCTCAGCAAAACGGCAACCTCTTCCTGCCAGCGAGTTTTGCAGGGCGAGGTGTTGGTGTCAGGCTGTGCCGAGCTGGGGGCTCTGAGGACAACCACCTGCTGGGACCCTCTCCCCGCGAGAAAGAGCTTCTCCCCAGAAGGTGAAGGAGCAAAGGGTTCCTCTGGCCGCTTCACGGCGACGTGAGCTTGCATCCGCTGCTTTCTCTGCCCACAGAGTGCTTCATGGTTCATTTGGACTGAAATTTC